CTGAACGGCTTAAGAAATTTCAGACCACATAGAAGTGTTAATATTTAATTGTTCCCATCTCTAGACCATTCTAAGTGCCCTATTAATCTCACTGTAGTTAAAATATCTCATTTATTTAATTGCTCAGCTTTTCAGAGTCCTTTGAAATGTGGGAAATGAATTATAGCGTTTAATCGTGTGTGCATGACTAGCTGAGTTATAAGCACGGCTTAAGAAATTTCAGACCACATAGAAGTGTTAATATTTAATTGTTCCCATCTCTAGACCATTCTAAGTGCCCTATTAATCTCACTGTAGTTAAAATATCTCATTTATTTAATTGCTCAGCTTTTCAGAGTCCTTTGAAATGTGGGAAATGAATTATAGCGTTTAATCGTGTGTGCATGACTAGCTGAGTTATAAGCCCGTCATTTGGTTTATCTTAGAGTGACAGATGCATGGAAACGCTCTGTGGCATATCATGAAAGTTATGATCATGGCTGTTTATACATATAGCTCCAAAAGTGTGTCATGCACATTCTAACAGGCATAAGCTGTGCATGATTTTCAAAAGGGGATAATAATTTTGAATTGTTTAGTGTTTGGGTGCCCAATGTTAGAGCGCTGATTTTCAGATGCGGGGTGCTCATTGCTTTCGAAAACTCAGGCCTTTTTAAAGTGTCTCCAGTAGGCACCAATAATCTCTAGTCACTTTTGAGAGTCTTGGCTAAGGACCCTGCCATAGAGTTGATAGAATAAAGATCCAGAATACTCTTCCTTTAGTAAATAGTGTCAAGTCTTTTTCAACAAACATCATTTCATCCAAACTTCTGTATCCACTGCCCATTTTAATTGTGAAACTCCCCCACCTGTCTCCAAACTCTCCCCTTTAAAAAGTGCAGTCATTCAGCTCAAATAGGAGCCACAGAAAGCCCTGACAAGCCCTGAGGCAGTGGGATAGGATACTCAGCACTTTTGGGGGCTTTTCCATTGAGAGATCTTGATGCACCAAGGAAGGAAAAAGGCCTTTCTTTCTAAAGGTTACCATGTACCATTTGTGCTAGTATGGATCATTTCAAATCTCCTTCTTTACCCAGGAATAGAAATCTCCAGTATTAATCATTCTTTTGGATTAATAACTTTTTAAATGTATTTTTGAGATTGTTTCTCAAATATAACTTTCAAGCCCTTTAAAACTTATTTCTAAAGTTAGCATCTCTTTTAAACAGCATTTTTATTTTATTCTATTTTTGTCTTTCAGGAAAAAATGCTGTAAGGGTTATAAATTTGTTCTTGGACAATGCATCCCCGAAGGTATGTGATTTCATTGTTCTTACTATTCACATCCCAGTGCCATTAGCAATTTCTCATTTGTTCTGACTTTTGTGCTGTTAAGTTGGGAGAAGATATTTAGTTAACCATATGCTTGGTTATCCCTTGTGTCTCTGTGTGGAATTTGTTACCAGAAATAGCAATACAATAAAATTCTGTTTCTGCAAAATATTTTAGCTAGGGTGCCAGGTCTTGGCTCTCCCTCCATACATCTGGTTGCATAGATCTTGTGATATGAATTAGTGGATACACAGGGCCATATTCTTCCCTTGAATGTGTGTGGAGAGCCATTACACCCAGGAGAATTAGCCTGTTCAGATAGGCCAGCAGCTAATTATTCCTGCTCTTCCCAACAATAGCAGTGGGGAAGTTGGGAGAGGCTGTTTCCTGAGGGAGGTGTCTTCCCAAGGTTGGTGCAACCCTGGGTTAGAATCATAGAATAATAGGACTGGAAGGGACCTCGAGAGGTCATCGAGTCCAGCCCCCCGCCTTCAAGGCAGGATCAAGCTCCGTCTACACCATCCCTGACAGATGTCTATCTAACCTGTTCTTAAATATCTCCAGAGAGGGAGATTCCACCACCTCCCTTGGCAATTTATTCCAATATTTGACCACCCTGACAGTTAGGAATTTTTTCCTAATGTCCAATCTAAACCTCCCCTGCTGCACTTTAAGCCCATTACTCCTTGTCCTGTCCTCAGAAACCAAGAGGAACAAATTTTCGCCTTCCTCCTTGTGACACCCTTTTAGATATTTGAAAACCGCTATCATGTCCCCCCTTAATCTTCTTTTTTCCAAACTAAACAAGCCCAGTTCATGAAGCCTGGCTTCATAGGTCATGTTCTCTAGACCTTTAATCATTCTTGTCGCTCTTCTCTGTACCCTTTCCAATTTCTCCACATCTTTCTTGAAATGTGGCGCCCAGAACTGGACACAGTACTCCAGCTGAGGCCTAACTAGTGCAGAGTAGAGCGGCAGAATGACTTCACGAGTTTGCTGCAACTTTAGACATTACCCTGTCCTTAAAGGCAGTGTGGGTTATTGTGTATAGCTCAGCCTGCAGTGTTCTCTTACAGGCAATAGCCTGTGATGCTAAATCGTATTTTGAAAATACAGTGTTTGGGTCTCCTGAGTTGAAAGATCTTGGAACAGCTGGATCATCTATAAGAAAAAAAAAAATGAGACGTGTGCAAGTGATGCTGTAGCTCATGGACACAACACATAGTGCTACTGGCTGAGAGGCATGAAATTTAAGGGAGATATCTAAAGGCTGTTGACATCAATGGGAGCCACCAGTGGGTTCAGTAAGGCTTTGGATCAGTTTCTAAACCAGTTATTCCCCAGAGAGCTTCACATAAGATGTATTTTCCTCTCATAGGCTTCCCTGGTGCAGGATCATGCCATATTTGCAGAGCTAAGATTGATTGCAGAGCTGCAAAATCCTCTTGCTGTAGGCAAGCTCTTTAAGCTGAAAATAAAAAGCCTGTAGTGGGCAACAAGGACAGTGCCAAGGACAAGGACGGTGCTGTACAAGGACCATGCCAAGCAGGGACCGTGGAGTTGGTCAGTGAGTTTTCATAGTATGAGATGTAAACATTTTGAAGTGAAAAGAGGCAGAGTAATGTCATTCTTCAGAACCCGGGAACTGCTTGTTCTTTGGGTTGTAAATTTTTGCCAACAAGTTCCTGCCAACTGCAGATCTTACTGCCCCCTGGTGAGTGAGCTCCTTGTTGTCAGATAGCAACCTTTTGTGACAAACTACAGACACCTCTTATTGTTCCTCGTGCTGCCAGTGTGGTGAGAAATTCAAAGTGCTTCCAGCAGAAGATGGAGCAGAGTTGTTACAACAGTGGGACCATTTGAATGAGATCAGTTCATCTTAGTTGGCTTATGCTCATAGTTTACATTTTGGGCTTTGGTTTTGTGAGGCTGTAGGGAGCTTATGGAGGACTGGTGAGCTACAGTGTGAGAGACTGAGACTGAGTAGTAACATGGTGTTGGAGTGAGGAAATTTTTTGTTTTGTCGAATGTAGAGACACTGAGACCATGTAGAATGAAAAGAACTAGGGCTCTTTTCAAATACAGTAAAATATCTATAGTGATTATTCACAAACAGCACAGAGACCTTAGGAGAAGAGACAGGGGTATGGATAACAAAAATGCCACAACAAAAGAGAATTGGTACTTCTAGTTTTGACCTATTCAGATTGAGGTGAATATGAAAGTAGCTCTTAATTATGACTCCATTGGCTTTTGGGAAGTTCTCTCTGGGCTCCGGACCTTAACAAACTTTCTTTTTTCAAATGAATTTTTTTTTTTTTTTTGCTGTCTGTGGTTTCTGTTCGGCTCTCTTTGTATCCTCTGTTAGCCCACTGTCACCCTGACCGGAGTTTCACCTTTAATTTCACAGACCAGAAGAACAGCCGAAACAGCTGAAAGTGTTTGAGCTCGTGGCATATAAACTAAAAACTCTGTGATTCAGAGAAACACTCTTTTAACTTACTCTATTAAAATGTAACCACTTCCCGCACACATTTCATCATAAGCTTGGCAGTAGGAGTGTGTTTGAAATGCATATCTTATCCCAGGCACATAATGTCTCAGGCTGTTAGTTTCTTCACCAAAGTACATTTTTGCCTTTTAGCCATTACTGACAAATCACAACCCCAAGAAAGCAATTGTAGTACCATCTTCCTGTGCAATTAGCAGTAAGTACAAGGAAGAACTTGGGACCTGCCCTATCTACTCTATTCTGTCTGCATCACAAAGACCTGGTTCTTTTCCTATGGCAAGTGCATTTTAAACCGTCTCTCCTCTATAAGGGAATGGCATTGTCATAGATCTCCTAGCCTCCTTTCTTCCATTTCATTCTCCCTTCCCTGTTTTATCTGCTAATTCACACACATACAGGTAAAAGGCAGTGCAGTCCAGTGGTACAACAGTGGGTTCTGTATGTAATAACTTTCCCAATGGCTTTGTGCCTCGATTTCCCCATCTGTAGAATTGGAGATATTGATATTTAGAAAATTGTTTTGGACTGAGCGCTAAATGCTGTTCTTATTACAACAGTTGCCCCTCTGACCTCTCCTTCCACCCTGCTTTCTCAAACCACTATCTCATCTTTTTTCCAAATTGCCTCTCTGTCTTACTACTCCTGGCTAACAATTCCATTCTCTCTTCCTTCTCTGGGTTCAGTCTAGAGCAAAGCACATGTACTGGTATCCTGTATCAAACATTTTGGGATTATCCCCTGTATAGGGGAGCTTCTTCCCCCTCCCCCGACCTCCTGGCATGCAGGTTCTAGCTGGATTTTTCCAGAGACTATGAAACAAAAGATGAGCTTGGACGGCACAAGGCCTTCCTTCGATTCAGCAAGCAGACAGGATCCTCTGGGGAGCGGAGGTCTCCCCACCTTTTTTTGTAGCATTGGAAGGAATTTGGCTTACCGGGACCCCATCAGATTGATGGATGGCTTCTCGTAAGCTTTTACCATGTATATAGGAACTTTCATTGATTTGAATGTGTTTTTTTTTCCATAATGATTTTACCTTAAGAATAAAAATATTTTGGTTTATGAAGGCTGGCTGGCAACTGGTGTACAATGCAGTAGCCTCTGAACCGAGGTTAACCACAGGGGCTGGACTTTGGTCGTACCAGCTGGGTAAATCACAGTGAGGTGCAGCTCTGTCTGACACAAGTGATGACTGAAAGGCTACGTCTACACTGCAGATTTATTTCAGAATAAGCTATTCCAGAATAGTTATTCCAAAATAGCTTATTTTGAAATAGCACATCTACACTGCAAGGAAGCCTCAAAATTAGTCCAAGGCAGGCTTCCCTAATGTAGACATGCTACCTCGATTTAGAGCCCCAGGAGGAATAATTTAGAATGGCCCTGGCGAGGGGCTATTTCGAAATAGCAGAAGTGGAACATCTATACACGCCTTATTTTGACATAACTCCTATGCCAAAATAGCTATTCTTCATAGATGAGGTTTGTGGAAGTTGGAATAAGCCGTCCGTTATTTCAAAATTATTTCGAAATAATGGAATCTCTGTGTAGAACCTCACATAGTTAATTTGCTGTGTAGACACACAAAGCCTAAGACCTTAAGAGGTTGCCCTCAAGGAAGACCAGGAGTAGGGGAAAATTGCAGTTAAGCCCAAAAGTATGGTAAGGCTTAACCTTTATGACCCCCAATCAGTAATTTTTTATTACATTTGATCTTTTGGAAAATTCAGCATTGCACAAGATGGCTGCTAGCTACTAATGTGAATCAAAATATTTCTTCAATAATCAATCAATAACAATTTCGAAAGCATGGTGTATAAGCAAAGATTGTCAGAAGGTTGACAAAAACATTTAGATTTAACTTAGTTTCAGATTTTCTTTGGTTTTGGGTCCAGGGACTGTCTTTATTTGTTCTGTGTTTGTACAGTGCCTGACACATTGGGTTCCTGGATCAAGATTACAGCTCCTAGGTGCCAAAATAATACAACAATTTAAAATAGTGTTTTAAAAGGTTAAGAGTGGTGGACTGCCCCTTTTATAAACTCTGAATTAAATGTTCAGAAGTTTTTTTTAATTATATAAGGCAACACTGTCATGAATTTTTATATAAACTCTAATAGCAAGAAGTGTTTATCCAGACTTGCTTCGGGCCCTGCCACTGCCTCGGTTTCCCCTTCTTCTCCAGTTAATGAACCTTCACTGTGAGAAAATGTCTTTACTGCAGACTTAACTTGGGCACCCGGGTTAGCCTCACTAGGTGTTAGCATCCAGACTCTAAAGACCTACTTGAATTACTCTGGTACTGCACTAACCTGAATATGTCACTGGGACTTCTGGGAGGATATCCCATAGATCACAGTGCTATGCTAAGATGGGCTGCTTTGTCATACTTTCCCAGGGAATTGTGGGGGGAACGTGTATGTGGTTCTGGGCTTCTGGGGGGCATTGTGGGAAGAAACTGGCTGACTAGCATCACTAGTGTGATTTAGCAAAGAGAATGGTTACCAGCCTGAATGAAAGCTTCACTTGGTCTTTAGCCTATACCTCCCCTAAATCGGCCAGCTAGTCCAAGCTGAAAACTCCACTGTACTCTGGCAAGATGGTTAGCATCGGATTCCAATCTGTACATTTATATTATTAGAAAGAGTGACACCTTATTTACCATGTGCTCTTTGCTTCGTGAATTAGGGTTGGGTTTTGTGTTCATTTTAACTAACTGCTTTCTGAAATGTTTTCTCAATATGTTAGTCACAGAATTATCTGGAAACGATTGTATATTATATTACACAGCAGTTGTTGTTTCTGTCACATATGAATTTGGGTAGAAGAGGGGGGAGAAGGAAATTACTTTTATGAAACAAATATTTCCCTGAGAATAATTACTAATTCTGGGTAAACAAAGCAGCATTTTAAATTATTTTCTGAAGCATCTAGGAGCCTCATTTGTGCAGGTACTGTCATTGTACAAAGTGGTATACAGACACAAAGAAAAAAGTGCCCCTTTCTTAAATTATTAGTCCTATAGAAGAGGTGTGACTTAGAATAATAACTCAACAATAGAACATTAGTTACATTATGTGATAATGTCACTTGTTTCTTCCATTTGCTGTGATAATGTAGCAGGACTTTGTTAATGAACACTATAATAAGATGAGATACAATATGAAATCATATGGTTGTTGTATACACTCATGGGCCTGCTACCAATGTTTCCCTTAAGCACACTTTTCTCTCTTTAGACTATGATGTGTGTGCAGAGGCTCCATGTGAACAGCAATGCACAGACAACTTTGGACGAGTCCTTTGTACATGTTATCCTGGCTACCGCTATGACCGGGAGAGACACAGAAACAGAGAGAAACCCTACTGCCTAGGTGGGTTATGAAGAACATGTCACATTTATCTTTGGTTAAGGATGTGTCCTACTTCTTGAAGAATTTCAAGTTACTTTAGAAGTTGGTTTCAAGGAAGTTGAATAGTGCTAGATCCTTTCCTCTTATTTTCCTTCATTCTTTTTTGAATGACTATGCTATTAAAGAGCTGTAAAAGTTCTCCCTCCCCTTGCAGTCTCCAAGCAGCATTCAAGGTCTTTGGCAATAGAATAGGGGCATGAAACTTGCCTTAAACTGAAAACCACATAAATTATGTTTGCCTATGAAAGGAAGCCTCTGAGGTTCTTATATTCAGGAACTTATACCACCCCCCTCTGACTCAGTAGCACCATCTTGCATGGGTGAGTACTTATGTGAGACAAGGTTTGCAGGGTCAAGTTTTGATTCAAAAGCCTGTCAAGTGGTTGTCATGGGTAAAGGGCCATGCATGTTAACAATTATAATGCAATTGGTGTGAAGCTGTAGGCTCCCTGAAGTTCTGTAGCTATTTGACCATCCATTCAGAAGCTCTTATGATAATGGAACCCTTAAGGAAACTATCTTATTTGATCTCTGAACCTCTGTGATTTTGGGGGGATTCTCAACATATGTTTGACTTCAGACATCGATGAGTGTGCCACAAGCAATGAGACTCTCTGCTCCCAAATCTGTGTCAACACCATGGGCAGTTACAGATGTGAATGTCATGAAGGTTATATCCGGGAAGATGATGGGAGGACTTGCACCAAAGGAGACAAAGGTATGTACTAGCATGCACTAGTATCGTGGGGCAAAGACAGCCTACTACAACTGACCCACCATAGAGAAGGAGCTATGGAAATGTACTGCATCCAATGCCAAATTCAGGTGCACTGGTGTAACAGAACTGAATTCAGTCAATTGACTTCGATTACTAAAAAGCAAGTGAGGTATCTAAAGACTGTACCATCATTCTATAGTCCTCTGTCCATGGTGCTCTTGGGGACAGTCATTTTCTAGAAATCTCACATGGATGGCTCTGGCCTCCCATTGATCAACTCAGGGGCTCAGCAGTGTTTTGGGACCAGCATCTCATTGTCTGTTCTGCAGGAGAGCAAAACACACCACCCTCTGACTAATGGGATATTTGGAAAGAAAACCCCAGTAGGAGACTCTCTTGGTGATTTCCTCTCCTTTAACCATGTGAGGAGTTAATCAGGTATTGTCTCAAGATGCGATCCAAACAGTTAGATATGCATTCCTCATTCAGGTGGTCTTGATATAATGTTCATACAAATATTTTACATTCACAGCAAATCAAGTTTCTCATCAGCTAGGCCATTGTATAACAATGTAAAAAAATCATGTGAACCTAACCTTTTACTGCCCCTGACATACTGTATTCTTGAGTTCCCAGGACTTATTCTGGAAGCACCTTCTCCCTGTAATTAGCACTAAATGAACTGTCATGTCTGCATGTGAGAGGAATGCAAGTGAAAAGCTAATATTTTAAAGGATGTGGAAAATATTTTCCCTCGAGGGTTAGAGTGATTGAATAATGGAACTTGCTCTTATTACTTAAGTTATACCACTTTTTCTGATGCACATAAAATACTTGCAACTAACACACTAATAATAAGCCAAATCCAATTTAAATATAGAAACGTAGAATAAAAGTTGGTCCAGTGTGGGATCTCACTTAGAGGAAAATGAGCCAGATTCTGATTTATTTAAATCCAAAATTGCTTAAGTATATTTAGTCTGTATTTACAATGATGCCAATGAGATTAGCATATGGCCCAATATTAGAACTTTTTAACTTTCAGGCACACACCTACATCAAACCTGGAGATTCAATTTATATTTAAAAAAAATCTAAATCAGCAAGCCACATTCCATCTGCAACTCTTGAGTTTTTTAATTCCATGGAACTGAAGTTAATTTAATGGCACTGTTGTAACAGAGATTGGCATTTGATCCAATAAATATAAAATGTTGAACTTTTTTGTTTTGTTTAATTTGAATAACTGTATTAAGTATAAATGTGTGCCAAATATAAGACGAATATTAAATGTTGGTCATCTCCAGTGCTTTTAAAATAATAAAGTTTGGGGTAGTTTAAATTAAACACACATATATACCATTAGTAACAGAGGAAAGAAAGTGCAAACATCTTTTGATGAATAATAGGTTATGTTTGGTTCACCTATTTATGACTGAAAGTACATTTTATACCGCTGACTCTTCCAAACTGCAGCTGGATAATAGGCACAAACATTTTGTTACTTATATTTGTCCCTTTGAAAATATGAAGTTAGCGTACCCCAGTAACCAGTGCTTGGTCTTTGTAGCTTTCAGATATTTTAAATTTTTATTTCTAAAGATGTCGTTAACAAAACATGTGTGTTGTAACTAATCCCCTTGCAAATATTTTCATAATTAACATTTTCTCTGTAGTTCAAACTTTCTGACAGAGGAATGCTGCTAGCATTCAGGATTTCTGACTGTTCAAAATAGTCTAGGCATTTGTTAACTGTCTGGAAACAGCAGTTTGTAACACAATTTTCTTTTCATTATAATCCATGTTTCTGTGTGGCATAGGACTCCATCACTCGAACAATTACCAGCAGCAGTTGGAAAGTCAGCATACAGAATCTGAGAGCTACTTTCTGCTTTTTTACACAGAGAATAATTTCACAGATTTCAGATGTAAATGAGAGCAGAACTGGACCCAAACTATTGTTTATTACGTACACTAGCCAGCCAATTACTGGTCAGTATGCAGAACAGGATTTTCAGCAGCAGACCTAGACTTTGAGATCTATAAATTATGTGCCACCTTGTGGTAAATGTAAGTTCCTGCACTATTATAAAACAGCAACACATCTAAGTTGTAATAATATGATAGAGAGCAACTGTAGGATCACATTATTATACTGGTCGCTGGAACACTGAGGTAGATTTTCTGATAATATTTTATCTGAGACAACATAAAAACATTCAACTATCTGACCTTTCACTCTAATTCCAGATATAACATACCTGACCCGGAGAGTTAATAATAATGTGTTTACTCTGTAATGCCAGAAGAATTACACTCTTTGGCCCTATCCTACTGTAAGTGGCTTGGATTAAACATGTTGTGGATTTGTGCATTGGGCACTAAAATGAGCAGCATCCTTGATGCTTCAATAATCATTTTTCCTATTGCAGAGTAAACACAGTTACACGCTCAGAAGAGCACAAATGAAACCTTCTCGGCAGCCTGAGCTCAGATAATACAACACAGATGATAAGCTAAACAATCTCTGTGCAAAGAATGCATTCAGAACAGCTCCCTGTAGAGATCTCCTCCTGGCAGTATCTCTCTCTCTCTCTTCCAGCATAAGCAAGCTCATGACTTCAAGCATATGCTAAGGAAACATACTGCCTCTCCAAGCAGTTTTCTTATCAATAGCAGCTGCAGGGCTCACCAGTAACTAGGTAAAAGGCTCCAAATAAGGCCAACAAAACATCATGTGAGCTGGATTTAATTGTTTGTACTGTCGGAGGCCCTGTAAGATGGGACAGGTTCAAAGGGACTCTGTCAAGTAATTTAGCCCCCACATTCAGGTTTTATACAATGAAAACAATTTGTTTAAACATCCAGCTGAAGTGTTGGTGAGCTCAGGGGCTCACCAAGACTTCCTCCGCCTGAATGCAGCATCTAGACCAATGATAACTGTCTCATTGCATCCCTGACCAGTGACCCAAATGGATTCTGGTTCTGTTCAGAAATGGAACCATTCTGGATCTGACATCAGGGGTTAGATGGTGTATAAAGAAGGCAGTGATAGATGATCATTTTCATGGTCAGAAGCTCACCTCCCTCAGTGAAAGTTAGGGGAATCCTGCCTTGCACAAGCTGGGAAGCAGATGTAGGGGGATATCTTATCCTTGTTCTCAACAGGGCATTAGGCTGTATTCTGATGTCCACAGAAACTAATGGATCTAATTGGATTCACACAATTCTCTGCAGCATGGTCCCGTCCAACTATTTGACCACTGATGGTTGCAGTCAACTATTATAACCATGTTTTGTTGATGCACTGGCCTTTGCTCCACATCAGATGAACTGAATTATATATTAGAACTAGGAGTAAATTCAGTGTTTCTTACATGCCACTCAATCCCACTGATTCCAATGGGATTGAATAGGGTTTAAAGACAGCCAAGAAATCTGGCATTTTTTCCCTCTATGACTGTTGCTTTCAGCAATATTTCTCAACACATTCCAATCATCTGGGGTGATGGGGTGAACTCATTGGGATAAAATAAAAATTGAAAGGGACTTTGGTTTAATACTGGTTCCAAATCAACATTTTTGCTGACATTTGAAAGCAAACAAGCCTAATTATGCATTTTATTTTAACAAAGATGCATGCCTCTGTAATGCCTGCTTTTGTTTAGAAATGCAAGCGCCAAAATATTCACATTTTTTAAAAGATGTTCAAAAATTGGGAGAGGATACAGAATTTGAGGTCTGGAGAAAAATGCCTTACTGGGAAAGTTTTAAGAATGCAAACTGTTTAGCTGATCAAAAAAAGAAAATCAAGAAGTGACTTGATTTCTGTGTATAAGTACCTTCACAGGGGCAAAACGTTGGGTATTGAAGGGCTCTTTAATCTAGCAGAGAAAAGCATAACAAGAACCAATGGCTGGGCATTAAAATTAGACACATTAAAATTGGAACTCAGGAACAAATTTCTGACAGTAAAATGGAAAAAATACCAAGGGAGATGATGAAGTCACCTTCTCTTGATGTCTGCAGACCAAAACTAGGTGTGTTTCTCAAAGATAGGCTTTAGCTAAGCACATATTATTGGACTCAGTGTAGGAGATACTGTGTGAATTTTATGGCCTGTGTTATACAGGATCAAATTATCAGTTTGTAAACTCTTAGCACTGTACAATGAAAAGCTCACAACAGAGTCTGGTATTTCAGGCCCAAAAAGACTGACTAAAATTCAAACGAGAATTTGAGGTAAGTTCCAATGCTCACTGCAATCAGTGTAAACATTCCTATTGACTATAGTGATTGTTAGATGAGCCACTTGATAAGTATGTGAGTGTCCACTGGTCAGTTGTTCAGTAGCCCAAGCCAGGCCATGAGTCAGCTGCTTTCAGGGCTGCTGCTCCAGCCTTGGCCCAGAGGAAGTCGTGGAGGTCCCAGAAAGTCACAGAATCTTTTGTGACAGGATTGTGTCCTTAAGAATTGCAGAAGAACGGAATGAAATTTGAACAAAGGGGAATAATGTGAATTTTTCTACATTGGACCCAGTAGATATGCTATGTATTTGAGAAAGTGTGTCTGTGCATGAGTCTGTTTCTCTGTCTGTTCAAGAACTCCTAAATGGTAAGAGCTGCGATGACCAAATTTGGTATGCAGCTTTCTCTCATCATAACTGAAAGGTCAGGGTTGGGTCAGGAAAATGGGATGTGCCTGGAATGGCATTGCTTCTCAGAAAACCACACAGAAAAGAGATAGAATCAGCAGGTAGATGAAAGGGGCTGGCTGGAGGTGTCCTCCCACTCACCAGGTACCTTTTAGGGAGGGCAGAAGAGAGGGCTGAAGTTCCTCCCTCTCCTCCCTATTCATATGGGGATATTGCTGGCTGTTCCCCTTCATCAGGGACCCAGGGGGAAGTACATAGTTTGCTGCATTCCTCACTCTGGCTGGAGAGCGCAGGGGGCAGATGAACCTGCACCTGCCCTAGCCAGGGGACATGCACCCTTCCCCCAGCTGTGCCTGCTGGAGCTGCAGCAGCCCTGGACAGATGCTTCTTACCTGGCTGCAAGCTGTTGCAGTGAGAGAGGGCTGGAGTAGTCCTCTCTCCCTGGGGAAGCATGCATACTGAACCTCTCATCCCCAGAGCAATGATTTAAATGAAGAAAAACAAAAAATAATTCAGTTAAGGACCTGAGCAACGGGGATCTTATTTTGTGAATTAGGGAGCCATCTGCTGGCAAAAACTTGCCGCATATCTACTATATACTTGAGATAGTAAAACAAAAATTATTTGAGTTAAGGACCTGACCAATGCCAGGTAAATCTTCTATTGTGCGTGTGTTTAGAGACAAACAGCCAGATATTACTATTAGAGTTCCTCCATTATTTCAAGTAGTGGAAGTCTGTTCCATGATTCTGAAGGTCCAGAGTTTGAGCCCTACTTTTGGCTCTTGTGAATGATCATTACACATGTGGGACAACTATTACAAGGATATTTGTTTGTTTGTGAAGCTAAAGTGATTAGCTCTGTGTGAAGCCAACAAAAATAAGGTTGCAATGTTTATTTTCAGGTTATTCTTCAAATTCCACAACAGATTCAGTCCAACATACCTAACAATTATAGTGACTTTTCCTCTAACTTGGCTGTAACCTTTAGTAAAAGTCCCAATCCCAGCCTTGTTCACTCTTGCAATTCCATTGCACAGCAGAATAGTCAGTGTTGATGAAGAACAGTTTTGTGCAAATTGAATAAGAGTGTCATGTTGCATGGGATTTGATTGTAATTTACAATGTATGAAAAGTGGCTTTGGAGGGAATTGTAAATCATTTCAGATCTGTGGGGCTGGTCTAGTGTCAATGCATAGATAAACGTACAAGTGTAAACATTTTCAAATATAAAAGAGGAAAAAAGACATTAAGGACTGTTAACTGGAAACAGCTGCCTTTAAAATGTGGCCTACACCACCCCTGTGAAATTGCTTTGCCTTACATCGTGATTCATAATTGCAAAGTTATGGCAATGGCATGAGCCTCTTTTCCTTTCACACTATAGGGTACTATAAAAACCTCAAAGGCTGTTCTGTGGCACAGTAGCTTTTACAATTACTGAATTGATTTCTTTTCTTGGATTTTCTGCCTTTTTAAAATATATTGGAAATTGTTTTAATTTTAGCCGGGCTTTCTGAGAAGTCTGACAACATCGTGAAAGCAGGAACATGTTGTGCTTCTTGTAAGGAATTTCACCAGATAAAGCAGACGGTTTTACAGCTAAAGCAAAAGGTACAAATGTTTTGTCACTCACCTCTTTACGTGATACATTTTAAAAGCATAAATTGGACACTAAATATATCCACAGTTCTTCTTAACTTTAAACATACTAGTGTTGATGAATCATCATACAGGTCAGGCTTGTGTTCATGAAATGTATTGTTAAAGGGTTTTAAATCATGTATGAATGGCAGTGGCAGCTATTCCACCAACCTGGTCTGAACAGATTGCTCATCATATCAGAATCAGTGGTAGCTTTGGGATATGGACAGATGGCCAACAGGGACTAGGATAAGATCATGAAATCCAGTTGAAACCCTTATAAGGGTTTGAACCCAGCTGTATTGATGAACTGCATCATTTCTCCTCTTCCCCCATAATTCCTTCTAAATACACAACATTTAGGGCTCAAGCCTGCACAGAACTTTGAACATGGATAACCAGTACAAATGTGGTTTTGTGAAAAGTGAAATATTTGCAGAAACATGTCCATTTCAGCTACATGTTGGTGGAAGGAGGTCTTAGTGATTCATTTTTACTTTCTCCTTACATTTTGGTAAGGTAAAAAAATTCATTTGGGCTTTTCTATTTAATTTTATTTTCTTTAAACTTTCATATTAGAATATTATAATTTTAATGTATTATTGCTATTGTGTAATTTGACATTATTGGAACAAAATATGTTGATGGTTTAGGAGGAAAATTTTAGGCAGTTCTGTTGTGGGAAAGTTGGAAATTTTAGCTTTTCTTTCCGATGCAGAACAGCAAGTTTTAAATTTTTTCAGTTTCCCATAGAAATTCCATTTTCCAACCAACTCTCATCTAAGGTAATATTAATTTAGTGACAACAGATAGCAATTCTTGTTGGGAAAAAAGAAGAAAGAAAATGACAAGTCCTTTGACTAAGTGCTACTTTGTGCAATTATTTACAGGAAATAGGTCTCTCTGAATAGGCTGATTACCCAGGTATATGTTTCCAGTGGCGAAACCTCACATCAAATCCTTACGAAGTATCCTGATTTCAGATTTGGGGGGTATGCAAACACTTAAGCTTGTGTGCTTATTTCCATTAGTGATTAAGTCTTGTCTATGGCAAACCATGCTGGCTGATCAGTAGTGACTTTCTGGACTTAGAATTACACAAAAATAAGGCAGCCATGCATGGAAGGAAAGGTAAGCAAACAGGAAACAAAGATTTCTAGCAGAAGCCCTGACTATCTAGGTTGCTGTTAATGCCTCCGCCTCTAGTTGAATGTATCACAGATGGCAGAGCCAAAAAGTTGGGATCAAGATAGAGATGCCATCTTGAATGGTTTCTCCAGTGAGGTTTGATGTTATCATGATGTACTAGTGCAACATTCTTCCTGACTGCAAAGTTGTGCTAACCCTGAACTATCAGCATTCAAGATAGTTCCAGTGAAACTGGGGCAAGCAAGCTGATGAACTAGACTAAGGATGTCTAGCATGCAAATGTATTAAAATATATCCAGTCAGAAATCCAGTGCTTGGAATCAGTGCAAGATTGTACCTCATGCACGTCTGCTCACCCAGACATATATAAACATCTTTATTAGAAATCAGTGTTACACATAGCCCAGTCAAAGTCAACTCCTACAGTTTTCATAGGAACTCCTCAGAGCTACAATATGTAACATGAAACACTGATGGTGGGAGGACCCTGTTTCTAGCACCGCCATTCCCTAAAAATCTATCCACACAAATCTTTACGCACACACCATCCCCCAAAGAAAATGGCAGGTTGTGAAAAAAGCTTGGATTTTGAATTATGGATGGAGAAAGCCACGGTCATTTTAGACAAGTATCCCAGTCCATCCAGAAAGTGAAATATGAATTAGGTCAATAAGTGTAGTTAATCCCTAAGAGTACAACAGTCAACATTAAAAACACATGGTTTGGCAACAATGTGTACGATAGGCAGTTTCTGGCTCAGAGATATAAAAGATAATGAGCTAGACCCGGGACTCAATTACTTGACATGTTTAGTGCATGTGTCTCAGTTCCAGCTGACTCATTGGGGAGGCATGTGTGTATGCTGGCTTTGCAGATATGTGAATTTTTTTACTTAATAAATTACTTAATAAACAGGCTTGTTGACAGTACAGGTCATTTCATTTTACCCGAGCAACAGAAGACGTTTTTATATTCTATTCATGTCAATCCTTTGCAGTTACACATATTGATTCCTGTCTGTTCAGAACATAAACTGAAGAATTGGTCATTGTAATGACTATAATGAGTGGCATTTATATAGCAGTTGGGATCCTGAAAGAGCCCAAAGTAACCTCCAGGCCACAAACTGAAATAAAACTATCAAGGGGAAATTAATTAATCCATCACTCAGATGTGGCCGTCAATGGGGTAAAGCATTCCATGCTTTTCAACAGTGCTTATAAATGCCACACAGCTGCTTAGTCCAGGTGAAACTTGAGATTGACAGAATTTTACTTTCTAGTTTAATGTATAGAGACATTAGTTCTAAGACACCTAGAACCCTCCTGCCAAAAGTGCTTGGAAAATGTTAATGATCGCAAGCAGACAAGACTTTGTTCTATCTCTGAGTCTAAAAATGGCATCTTTGGCAGCATGTAGCCCCAAAAATGTGCTGGGGCATTGGTTTTATACCCACATAAAGAGAAGAATTTCATTTTACAGTGTTACTGCTGTTGCTTCATGAGCATTTAGATGGTTCTTTTATGCATCCTAGCCAAATGGTAGCATGACCCGGCTTACACACTATGGCTATGTCTACACGCACGGCTTCTTGCGTGACTAATATGCAAATGAGGCTAAGCGTGGAATATCGCTGAGCCTCATTTGCATACCTAATGAGCCATCATTTTTTTCAAAAGAGGCTCTTGCGCAAGAAGGAGCACCTACACTGCCCCTTCTTGCGCAAGAAAAACCCTCTTGCACAATGCCATTACACCTATTACTTTTCAGGAAGAATGGCATTGCGCAAGAGGGTTTTTCTTCTGCAAGAAGGGGCAGTGTAGACACTCCTTCTTGTGCAAGAGCCTCTTCTGAAAAAAATGGTGGCTCATTAGGTATGCAAGTGAGGCTCAGCGATAATCCACACTTTGCCTCATTTGCATATTACTCGTGCAAGAAGCCGCGAGTGTAGACATAGCCCAAGAGAGATCACAGGGTCAAGAAATGGAGCTTGTAAAACCCACTGATCAGTGTGTGTTATGAGTCACTCTTATGCTTAGTCCACTAAAGCTGGGGCTCAGTTACAGACCTCCTCTCACAGAGCCTTATTATTTAGCTCAAGCTGGGGCAACTCATCCTTTTGGCTCTGGAGATCCCTTGGGTAAACAGCTGGCACACCTGCAAGCTACACATGAATTGATTAGGGACGTGCCAATACTGTAATTTAAAGCAAAGAATAAAAGTACAAAGGGCCCAATAAAGCATAAAGAGTGTCTTTGGTGAGGGTCCCTCAGGACCTCTGCTGGACATCTGAGCTTCAGAGCCCTATCAGCATCTGCGCTTGTTCTGGGACTCCTTGGGAATAGCTTTCCTGCCTGACCACTGAACACCACCCCATTCCCAGAGTGTAAGCAGCACTTGATTTTTAGCCTGTGCCCCAGAACAGACCAGGTAGCTGAGGTATAAAGCACCACCACACACAACTGAGAGGTTTTGTGTGTAGACAGGAGCTAGATTAGGGACAACACCCATAAAGGAACCTGCGTTAGCTCTGCAGTGAAAGAAAAGCCTTTGGCAACCAGCCAGCCCAGCTGCCATATTTGGCAACTAGCTGCTGTGGAACACTGAAAATAACCAAAGGGTGAAATTCATCCAGGAGGTCAGCAGATTTGCCCCAGAAATGAATTTGCCCCACATACCTATAAAATAATCCTTAAATTCTGTTTGGCCGAGCAAAATTCCTAACTCCATTTATGGTCACTCTCAGCTAGTAACTTTCTTATCTGCAAATCAGTAGAGATGATTGTTGTCTCCTATAGGACAATTTTTGGGAGACAGCAGGTTTTCATAATATCTTTAAAAACATTTCATTGTTAAATGTTATTATCTAGGCAAGGATGACAGCACTTGAGATAAGCAGTGCACATCTCCTCATACAGTCCAACTTTGTTTTGCTTAGCAACTTT